TTCTGTAGGTCTATAAATAGGGACTCTTCCAAAAAAGGCAATATGTTAAAAATCAACAATCAAAAAACCAAAAGATGCAGAAACTGTTTTTGAAAAAAAAAAAAAAAATAGAACCACAAACATACAACCAAATGTAATGTGTGAACCTTCCTTGGAATCCTAATTTGTAAAAGAAGTTCTTAGAATGAAGAGAACTTTGAATTTGTACTGGATAGAAGATTCTCAGATTTAACAATGGTGTTGTGGTATTAGGAAATTGTTCTTATTAAGAGATGCATGAGGAAGGTATTTTGGGATAAAGTGCCATGATATCTGCAACTTTCAAATAGTCTGAGAACAACAAAACATAGGAGATAGGTAGATACATAAAAAAGTAAATATGGGGCCTCCCCAGTGGCGCAGTGGTTGAGCGCTGGGTTGTGAAGCTGCCAGCAGCCTCTGCAGCGCTGGTTCAGTCCCCAGCTGCTCCCCAGCCACCGCAGGAGGGTCCTGCATGGCGCACAGACCTCTCCTGCTGCCCGCTGCTCCCCTCAGCAGTGTACTTCGGTCCTTCTGCCTGCTCTGCTCCCCGCTCTGGCTCTGGTGAATTCTCTCACCCTCCCGCGCTTCAGACTGTACCCAGTGCTTGTATAAATAAATAAATAAATAAATAAATAAATAAATAAATAAATAAATAAATCTTTAAAATATATATATTGTTTAAAAAAAGTAAATATGGTAAAATGTTAAAATTTAAAATATTTAAATGGAAGTGGCAGAGGAGTGAACTATTTCAATTTATCTGAATGCCTGAAATACTTTCATAACAGCAAGTTGAAGGAAAAATTGCAAGGATTCTTAATGAACTAATTCTTAAAGAGTGGAGTGGCGTGGGTCTGTAGTTATGCTTCAAGGGACTCATAAACTCCCCATAGCTGTGAGCAGCATTCTATGTGCATATATAGCTCTACCTTTCTCTAGGAAGAAGCTCTGTAGCGTTTGCCTGATCTTTCCTTGGCATCCAAAGACTCCAGAAAGGCTGAGGTCTTAAGGCTTGTCTGGCGACATTAGGTCTGGTGACTGCAGATGTGTGAGGTTTTTGGACAGTAAAAAATTTTCCTTCTGCTCAAATCATGTATTGAAGATGGTTGCCTAAAGTCATGGTATCTTAGAATTGAACGGAGCCTTAAGAATGATCTAATTCTGGGGCCTCCCTAGTGATGCAAGGGGTTAAGTATCAGCACTATGAAACAATCAGCAACTACTGCAGCACGAGTTTGATCCCCGGCCATGGAGAGGACCCACATGATGCAGCAGACCTCTCCTGACTCACCCACTGCTCCCCTCAGCAGTGTATTTCAGTCACTCCGCCTGTTCTGCTCCCTACTCTGTCTCTGGTGAAACCTCTCACCCTGCACACCTCTGGCCTGTACCCCAGTTCTTGTATGCATAAATAAATAAATCTTAAAAAAAAAAGAATGATCTAATTCTTCCCTCAAGAGGAAGCTCTAAAATAGGTCAACATTAGGCAATTTGCAGTGTTATAAAGAGAAGTGAAGCCCGAACCTGGCCTGTGTTTCCATTCTGCTTATTCAAAGAACCAGCCTGTTTGTTCAGTCACTTGACCTCTTCTACTTCCTGTATTGACTAGAAAAGCCAACAAACATCTAACAGAGGGTAAAAAGCACGACCTGGACCCCACCTCCCTTCCCTCTCTTACATCCCCTCCTACTATGCTACCTCATAGGCTAGCTCCTCGCTGGCTGAAGCGTGTCCTTAAGGGTTCTTCTGACACAGTTAGCGCACACAACCATAGAGTTTTTGCTCTGCTGGTTCTTCTCACTGTGCTCTTCTTCCAAACATTTTTCTTGGCTAACTGCCCCTTCTTCAGGTCTGCACAGGCCTCTATGTGTGATGTATTCTGACCCTTGTTGAAGACAGCAATTCCCACCACCACTCCCAACAATACTTGTTTCCCCAAATTATTAATTTTTCCATATCACCTGTCATCTTCAAACACCTTATACACTTTTCTTTTTCATTATGCTTTTTCCACATTGGAATATAAGCTCCACAAAGGCAGAAATTTTTGTTTCATCTACTGATGTAGCTCAAGTGCCCAGAACAGTGTCTGGCATAGAGAAAGTACTCAATCCTAGATATTTTTACTGAACAAATGAATATTCTCTGCCTGCAAATCAGGACTTAATTTCAACTTAAAAGGGACTACAAAGGGTAAAATATTAAGTAGAATAGGTGTGGAATGGGGGTGGGGATAGGTATACTGGATATTTCACATTTAAAAGGTCAGATTTAAGTTTTTAGCTTGATGAAATATATGAATGGGCTTATGACCCATAACTCAGCTCTTTCTTGCACAATGTCAACTATCCCTGTTCAGTACCCAAAACAGATTAACAGCAGCATCTCCTTCTGCCTGAGGGCTTACAATGTTGCAATTTTCTTGTATTAAGTTCCAAAATGTTTAATACTTGAATGATTTTCTAATAGGGTGTCGATTTACTACATCACAGGCATAATTAAAGGCGTCATTCAGGTCTGTTGGGATTAAGTTTAAAGCCCGAAAGCTAAGCTTTCAGAGCCAAGCAAATCAGAAAGCAGCATGTGTGTGATGCAGAAGAACATTTACGCACAAGCGACAACTTGCAGCTGTGTTTTTCTGAACTCTCCACCTTTGCTTCAGGCCCGCTGGGTTTCACCTTGTTGCGAGTGTAAGGAAACTAAGATGAACCCAAGGTGCTGAGCCTGCTGTGGGTCTCACAAACAGTTACAATGCAGTTCTGAAGTTTGGAAGGAAACCCTGACCTAGTATTTTATGGAGACATGTCCCCATCCATCCACAATAGTGGTTGTGGAGATTCATTGCTAAAATTCATCCAAAATTGAGGATAAACCACAGAGGAAGAAGCATTAGTTTTTAGAAACAACACTGGATATTTTGCTGATAACTGTTCGTTGCAAACATGCATGTCCTATATTATTATGACCTCAGGTAATAGAGGAACAAATGGACTGAGATAAGAGATTTTGAAAAGTTCTGAAACAATGTGGCTGTTTTCCTTTTGACCCTTAACATGTTTCATGTAGGGGCCTTTCAGAAAGTTTTCCCAGATCACAAAGTCCTTCTCTTGCTTTGAGCCAGGCTCATCCCTTATTTTTGGTGCATGGTTATTGGAGTCATTATTGGCCTCCATTCATAACAATAAACCATTGCCTCTGCTCGCCTATTTCTGAATTGCCAGACATAAGGAAAAAAGGTTAGTGAGTTTACTTTTTTTTAAAAAAATCCCTTTTTGTGTTTATTGTTGTCATCATTAACTGAAGAATAATTTAGTGAGTGACCACTGTGTGTTTTGAATCTATAAGCACTGCAAAGATAATAGTTCAAAAACACTGTTCCCATCCCAAGGTTTTTATAGTTTAGTACACAGAGAAATAAGAAAACAGGAAATTGAAATGCAGAAAGAGAGACACAATGAAGGAGGTAGGTACAGATTGTTGCGGCGATTTCCTGGGTATGCAAGGAAGACTTTCAATAAGAAGCACCAGGGCTATGAATTTCCACAATTGGATGCAAAAGCAAAAACAACCTTCATGCCACTACCTGGGCAAGGCACTATGAACACTGTGCATCTTTCCTTCATGCTGCATTTGATTCATTTCAATTTAGTTGAACTCATCCTGAAGGTAGAGTCTGTTGCCCTACTTTTTTCTCCATTTGATATAAGAACATAATCATTCCCTCACATTATTAAAAGTTGGTTGAAGCATTATCACAGCTTTGTTATGATTTGTGCATCCAGTGCCTCATTGTTGGTTATTTACATTGCATGTTGTTTTCATTCATAATAATGTATTTATTCGGCATTTATTAAACTCTTGCCTTTTAAGAGTCAGAAACTGAGCTGAGTTGGAGAATATAAATGCCCAAAAATAGATGACTGGATCAAGAGGTTGTGGTACATATATACAATGGAATATTACTCAGCAATCAAAAAAGATAAACTCATGCAATTTGCAGCAACATGGATGGAGCTGGAAGGGATCGTGCTCAGTGATATGAGCCAGGGGTAGGAGGAATTACAGTCAAAATAAGAGGGGTAGGAATTGTATGGGGACTATAACCAAGATGAAAATGCATACATTGTGCAAAAATGAAAAATGATGTAAAAAATATAAAAAATTACCAAAAAACTGAGTAAGTTCCTCCAGAAACTTAAAAGATAGAAGGAAAATGACTGGATACAGACCGCTCTAATTTCTATAAGATGACAAAAGGAAGAAACCCAAAGAGGAAAGGACTTACAAAGAAGCACATACTCAGTGTGCTGACATTGATATTCTTACAGTTCCTGGAGGCTGGACGTCCAAGATCAAGGTACAGGTAGGTGTGGCTTCTTGAGGTCTCTCTTTTGATCTTTAGACATCCACCTTCTCACTATGTCCTCACATGGCCTTTCCTCTGTGCTTACAACCGTGCTGTGTGCATCAAAATTTCCTTTTCTTATGACACCAGACAGGCTGGATCAGGGCTCACTCTAAGGCTTCATTGTAACGTAATCATCATTTTAAAGGCCCTGTCTCCAAATATGGTCACATTCAGAGGCATTGGGGTCATGACCTCAATATATGAATTTCTAGAGGACAAATTCAGCCCCAAACACTTAGTGACAAAAAAATGCTTCTGGAAGGAGGCAACACTTAGCTGCTTCTAGAAGGATGGTAAAGCATAAAACATGAAAGATGCAAGATGGATAGATGAATGGATGGATGGAAGGATGCCTGGAAATATGAAAAAGCTATAGCACATCACTTAGAGGAACAAGTATTTCAGATGAGTGCAAGGAATGGAGACAAATTTTGGGAGAACAGAGGCAATTATAAGTAATTGTGGTGAGACTTATCTTTGTCCATATTTCCGATTATTTCACTGAGATTGACTTCAATGAAATGACTTGGCCAAAAGATGTGTCCCCCCACACCACCCTTCCTGAACCTCCCCACACTCACTTCTCTCCCATGTTTTCTGTGTTGGTACTTAAACAGTCATTGAGGTCACCTGTGGGTGCTGGTTGAAAAAAGATTTCCTGATGGCTCACACAGAGGTTTCACCCTTCTCTCAGCGCTCAGTACTATTGGTCTCAGCAGCCGGTGATCTCTCCAGGAAGCCATGGGTATACCTGTAGAGCCAGTCACTGCTGTCCCTACTTCTAACAGCTCTCCAACTTCTTTTGAAGACTTGGATTCCTAAGTCACCAGTTTACCCTCAGAGACACCAGGACATACCCTTTGAATAAAGCATAAACAAGGAATTAGATATTATGGATTTAATTTTTCAGTGACCTCTCTCTTGAGCTAGATTATCAATTCCTTGCTTGTTCATCTACTTGAGTCACCAGAGCCCAGCACTATTATTTAAAATAAAGGGAAATGATTGGTAAGTCTTTCTGCTTCCCAGGGCCCTAGTTTTCTTATCTGTAAAATGTGGGCCATATTTTCACAGTTTATAAATCTACCAACCACACTAGCATCTTTGCACAGGGCTTTAAAGTTCTTTTGACAAACAGGATCCTATTAAATATAAAAATGCCCAATATATATTTAGTGACATGAATGGTAGTGGTAATTCCATTGGAACTGAAAGAAATCTACTTAATGTTAAAGTTTTTCTAATCATTAAATTTGAGAGACAAATTAAGATATTTTTTAAAGATTTATTTATGCATACAACAGCTGAGGTACAGGCCAGAGATGCGGGGGGGTGAGAGGATCCACCAGAGACAGAGTGGGGAACAGAACAGGCAGACTGACTGAAATACACTGCTGAGGGGAGCAGCGGGAGAGACAGGAGAGGTCTGCTCTGCCATGAGGGTTGCTCCCTGGATGGCCGGGGATCGAACTTGTGCTGCAGAGGCTGTGGATTGCTTCATAGTGCAGTACTTAGCCCCTTGCACCACCAGAGAGGCCCAAAATTAAGATTTTTAAAATAACTTTCAATGACTATATGCTAGTTAGTTTTTAATTACTAAATAAAGTCACAACCTTTTGTTTGTATTTGGGTCGACTGGCAAGCACTGAACATGTTCACTATTCATTCTTGGTTTTATCTTTCTGTGATATTTTATGTGAAACTCTATTTCAAAAGATAGTTCTATTAGAAGAGTGATCGTGTGTTCTACAAACCATGGAAGCTGCAGACACCGCCTGAGGTCAGTCCAGACACACACCTGTGCAGGTGAAGGTTCGCCCCCTCGGGTGTGCCCTTGGGTAAACATAAGTTCTTTTGGCTGCTGCTACCAACAGGGTTCCAATTTCACTGTGACCACGTCTCTGACGCCAGTGCTAGGGACAGTGAACTTTTAAAAACAACCTTGTCTTTCTTCTTTAATCTGGTGGAAAAACAAAGCCCAGTTAGGAACCAATCAAGTAGAGGAGAGTACCGCTAAATCAAATAAACTTGACTTTCTCTGACAGTGTTCCAGAATCTCTTGAGAGGTTCTGGACCTATGGGATGGGCTGTTTTATGGAGCCTGACTGAGGGAGCTATTCCAGGACCTGAAGCACAACTTTTAAGGGGGCATGAAGGAAAAAAAAAGGGGGCGGGGAGTGTTCCTCTTCTTATGAAATGGAAAATGTCAGGCTGACCTGTTGAGTAGCTGAAGTTGGGAGATAGCCTGTAGACTGAAAGTTTCAGGGAACAGCTGATAAGCACCCTCAGGCCACATGCATCCTGATTTATGCTTTAGTCAATAAATCAGGTACCAGATGACTGTACCCCTTGCTTTAGTCAATAAATACGCTGTAACCTAGTTGCTCCAGGTTCAGACTTTGGAGAGAGATCTCTTCTGGGTCCACCAGTGTAAATAACTTCCCTCCTCCTCTCTGAGTGCTACCTGGTTACCTGACAGAATCCTGCTGTAACACTTATATTACTGTTTTCCTGCTATGTACTCCTGAATCTCAACAAACCTAAAAGTTAGTATTATTCTCCTTTCCCTATAAAGTGACCCAGGGGAAACTGGAGATTATCTGAGTGGGGAGAGAATTTTGAGCTCTCAAATATAAAAGCTTCATTTTACTCATGGAAAACAGGCCCAGAGTAGGAAGAGGTGATCTTGCCAAGGTGATATGGCAGCTTGCAGCAGAGCTAGCAATACAACCCTAGATCTTCATCCAGCCACTATGCCTTCCTGAAGTGTAGTCTTGCCACGCCCCCACCCAATGAGTTCCTCTATTTTTTCTGTTGCTTTCAGAAGCCTTTTTCCTTCCAGTTAATGAGTCTAAGACTATGAGAGGCATCATTAGCTATTCTTCTATATCCTGTATTTGCAGTTAATGAATCCTATTGATTCTTCAAAATCTTTTTTTTAATTTTTCATTTTTTTAAAGATTTATTTATTTATTCATTTATACAAGCACTGAGTAGTCAGAAGCGTGGGAGGGTGAGAGAATTCACCAGAGCCAGAGTGGGGAACAGAACAGGCAGACTGACGAAACACACTGCTGAGGGGAGCAGCGGGTGTGGCAGGAGAGGTCTGGGCGCCATGTGGGACCCTCGCCAGTGGCCTGGGATCAAACCGGCGCTGGAGAGGCTGCGGGCAGCTTCGCAGCCCAGCACTCAACCACTGCGCCACATGGGGAGGCCCTGATTCTTCAAAATCTTATTCTCTATTCCACTTGCCATCCCCCTAGGCAGCAGTACTTCAGTCCATGCCTCCTGCTGGCCTCCCTGCCTCTGACCTCCCTCCAGTCCAACTAGTAGACAGCTAACATATCAATAATAGCTAGCAGTTGTCATATACATGCCCATACCCCAGTCCTGTTCCAAGTGCTCTACATTTATCATCCCTTTTATTTCGCATAATAGCTAAAAGCTAGATGCCTTATTCTAAACTTATTTTATGAATGAGAAAACTGAGAAACAGAGCAATTTAACATGCTTAAAATTGGATGGCTAACAAGTGGAAGGACTGGGATTAAAAAACAACAACAACAGTTGGTGCCAAAGTACAATCTTCTCACTACTATACCATATTGCTTTTTTCTGAAGCACCAGTATTACCATATCACTCTTCTGCTCAAGAACCTTCAGTGGTTCTCCCCTATCTGTGGGAGCTCGAAGTTCTAGTTTGACCTTTAATGCACTAAATATGTTGGCTCTTGATACTCTTCAGTTAACTTAATTAACTTCTCTGTGTATATATTTCATCATCTATTACCTGAAGATGATCAGAATAATAACTAGCTCACAAGGCTGTCATGAGAATGAAGCAGATTCACCCAGGTAAACCTCTATGCTCAGTGCTCAGCACAAAGTGACTTTTGATCAGTGTTTGCTACCACTGGTTACCTTTGGACCCTACTTCTCACAACTTCCTTATAGGCTCCTGTAGCCAAAATGTTGTTGCAAATAAATAGTACTTGTTGAAGAACTGAGTGCTGAGGAGTTTACCCCTCCCAGAAATGCTCACCACCACCCCCCACCATAGTCAAATCCTTCCAGACTTGTCTCCCTTCTTCAGTGCCCCACATTAAATTTCTGGAACACTTATTTCCAACATAGTTTTTTTTCCACACCACCACTTGTTTAATCATTTGCTAAATATTTATCAAGTGTCTACTCTAGTAATAATAATTGCATTTGACATTAGACTTTTACAAAGGGTTTCATGTTCTAACTATAGTTCTGTAAATCTTTACAAAAGCTGCTCTAGTCCCCGGGACCATGGGCAGCAGGGTGGTGACATAGATGGGACCCTTTGGGGAGCTTACAGTCTCATATGCAAAGCAAGGTCTCTCCACATGTGGAGACAATCCAGAGCAGACAGTGGCCAAGTCTGGCAGAGCTGATAAAAAAGGGTGTCATCGCCTCTCGAGCACAAGCTTGGCTTCCAATGGAGCCAATGTACACTGCTTCCAGATAGTGCCTGTGGCAGATGCGAACACACCCTTACCCTTACTGTGGGGAAACATTTAGACAGCTGAGAGGCTTCAGGGACTTCTAGAGATCTTGGTGCCATCAGAAACTGAAGGAGCAGCTCTGAGGGAAATGTGGACTGCCGTCTTTCCAGCTAAGGAATGTGACCAGCTCTGCCCTGCATTGTCTTCTTTAAAGGTACCCTGCAAACCACATGGCACCATCTCCTGACCTCACTTTAGTGTCCTGAGGGCAGTACTGAATCAACTTCAGCAACAAATTGCTACAGTATCTCAAACTCTTTCACTTCTTTTTCTTTTTTTAAAAAAAGATTTATTTATTTATGATACAAGAGCTGGGGTATAGGCCAGAGGTGTGGGGGGTGAGAAGATTCACTAGAGACAGAGTGGGAACAGAACAGGCAGACTGACTGAAAGTCTGTCTGAGGTCACAGCTGAGGAGAGGTCTGCTGCGCCATGTGGCCCGCTCCCTGGCCGGGGATCTAACTCATGCTGCAGTGGCTGCAGACAGCTTCATAGGTTGCATCTCAACGCCTTGCGCCACCAGGGAGAGAGACATTATAGAAAAATTGTACCACCTGTCTCTTTCATTGGACCAAAGACCTTTGCACTGGGCCAAAAACAATTGTTTTAAGAAACCACTAAGCAAACAATTGTTTGAAAACTGATGATTGTGGGCTTTTTTAGCCTGAGGACAGACTCAGTCAGTTTACTTTACAACCTTTTTAAAAAAACAGTAATGAATTATGTAGAGCCAGAAACAGTTTAAACCTTTTCTTACTTACCAGCTCTTGATTCGTTAGTCATTTATCTCTTCTTTTCCTTCGATTAAAAACCCTTAACTTTGTCCCTCCTTGGGCAGTTTTAGATTTTCTATTTGAATCCGTGAACCAAGAATCGCAATTTTTTTTGATCCCAAACAAAATTACTGTGCTTTTTAAATTGCTTCCTGAAATTTTAGTTGCGCATAAACATCTAATTATCAAAGTTATGAACCATAAAAGCACAATAAAATATTTTTTAAAGTTTATATGTAGGGAGAGAAAAGGAGCAGAGTGGTAAGATAGGCTGGTTCCTAGTCTTTTCTAACCTTTCGTTTAGTGGATTTACTTCAGAAGTTTGTAATTATATTAGAAAACCTTAAAGCAAATTTAGATTTGACAAAACTAATTTGTTTATCAAGTTGGTGGAAAACTGCACAGCAAGAAACTCTTTCAAATGACCTTAAAACTTAGGAATTTAACTATATATCCTTGCCGGGATATCCCCCAAAGACCAAATGGAAGCATATCAAACAAACTAACCTTAAATGTTTTTAGTAATGAAATGTGAAATGTAGTGTTGGTGTTGTTATCCTGAGACTGTTTTGTATGTTTGTTGTAATAAAGTAATGGGCAATTATGCTGAATTCAGATTTTGATCAGCTATGACTATCAAAATGTCTTTTGATATTACACATATCCTAGATATCTCCTGATAACATACCAGTTGTGAAATAATCTTGACAAAATGACAACCTGTATTTGATCAACTACCATCTATCCAGTTGCTAGATAAGAGGAAATGCTATGAAGGATGTAGTTTGCATTAAATAATACCACTGGGTACAATCACCAAAATTGTGATGTTTTCATGTAACAAAGGACTAAGCTTCATCAGCAAATATTTTACAAAGAGAAGAAATCAATCTCTGGAGTAGAAGGGATTTGAAGTTGTACTGAAATTTTCACGGAAGACAATGATATGATATGATCTGCTTCAGAATACCACAGGGAAATTAGAGATAAAAGAAAATTAGCCACCAGTTACTAATTGTTGAATCTAACTGATGAGATCAAAGAGGTTTGTTATACCTGTTTAAGAAAAAAGAAACAACACCCCAAAATGAAGTTGCTTATGCCAAGCCTCATCAAGACTTAATATCTGAACCTAATGGCACTTTTAACTTCTCCCAAAAGTGGAAATTTAAGCTAACCCATCTAGAGTTCCCTGGTCAGCACTAATGAGATAATCTATTCAATGAGATAACTTCACCTGAGGGACAGTGGCTTTTTTCTCCTACTAATATGTCCAAAGTTAACTTGTTTCTTTGTCCATCCTCAAAAGAACCCAAAAATCAGTGTGAGAATTTTCTCCTATAGCCAACCATATTTTCCCTGCTGAGCTGTAGGACCAAGCAGAGGGTCTGCTCCTCAGTAACCACTAGATGAATACACTTGAGCTTGAGGTGCTGCTTCAGCTGGAAGAATGACATTTCTCCAGAGTTTGGGGAGTCCCTCTGCACTCTGGGGTCTCACTGGTTATATGGCAGTGTTACTGGGCAACCCCAAAGGGAAATGAGATTGCCTGGGTATGAGTCCTCACCCTCGCGTTTAAAAACTCAGAACAAGACCAATAAATGGTTGGCTTATTTACAAGGGGAATGAAAGGAAGAGGAGCAGAGAGAGAGAGA